ATCCAAATTTATCCATTAATTATAAAAAAATAACTAATTAAGATTGTTTTCAGATTTTAAATATTTCCCCTATTTAAAAACAAATTAGAAAATAAAATAGCGCCTCATTTTAAATGAGAAAATCTATTAACTTGTTTAATCTAGTTTATTTTATTAATGTTGTTGTTGTTTGTTTGGTTTTTACTAACCATCATAGTTCGTCATATAATTTTTATTGGTTTGCAATACGTTTATTTGTCTGTTGATAATTATTTATGTCTTCAGTTTTAAATTTCATATACCATAACTTTTTTTGAAAATTAAATCTTTTGAAAATGTTGTACATAGATACACATATTGACAAGAATAAAAAAATACGTATTTTTCTTAAAGTTTTTTATACATTTATTGCTAAAACGAAGTTTGAAATATAATATAATTTAATATTATATATATATATATATATATATATATATATATATATATATATATATATATATATATATATATATATATATATATATATATATATATATATATATATATATACTGGCGTCTTTATTACCATCATCATTAAATTTATATATTATTTTAACTCAGGTTAACACCTGAGGTGGGTTGCCACTTGTACGCTCCTAAATCCACACTACAGCGGTTAATTCATATTTTATTACACTGCGTGAATACATTTCAGGATTTAGGTTTAAATTACATTAAATTTAACAATTAAAAATACTGATAAATTATGTAAACTAATCGACAAAAAAATGTTTTTAAATAATTTAAAGGTGTGTATTTTTCACTCAGCGAAAAAAAAAAAAAAAAAGAAACATTTGTTTTTTTATTAGTTGTATAGCATAGATCATGAGATAACGTTGTTTCCAATCAAGTTTATGTCATAATTGTTTTAACAAGCCATTGCAAGAGGATGTCCTAAAGAAAGATTCCACTCAAAAAGATCAAAAACCGAAGACATTATAAGTTAGTTTAAATGATTTCATGTTTATGATATGATAATTTATAGTAATTTTAGTTTTAAAAAAATATTTAATTTAAAATTATCTAGCCGCTACGGTCAGTTTAATTGAAAATGATCTAGCCGCTACGGTCAGTTTAATTGAAAATGATCTAGCCGCTACGGTCTATTTGCGTTTAATTTATATTTGTAATTCTTTAAAAAAAAGTTAAAATTGAAAATTTCGCATAACCACCCAACAGCATCTAATACATATTTAATAAAATAGTATAATATTAAAATTGAGATATAAAAAGAAATTGAAATATAGTTAAACAAGAAAAAACCGCGAATTATATCTTCATTTTTTTAATCATGTATCCCTAATAATAATAAAAATGTTAACATTAAATTTTAAAAAGTAAAAAAGAACTAAAAGAAAATAATTTTACTTAATATCGTCCACATTAATAATACTTTTTTAACTATATTATAAATAATGCTTTTTGAAAATCTTTAAAGAAACATTGATAAATATTCATATTATTTATAAAAAAACATTTCTTTTAAACAATCGTCCCTCGTTTTTCTTTGTATTTATCTTTTGTTTTTATTATTATTGTTAATATTATTATTATTTTTAATAACTTTTTAAGGTTTTCCAAGAAGACCAAACGGTCTTATGACAGAGAACTCCCAGGAAAAAAAAGTCCTATAAAATTTCTATAAAAAGTCAATAGAATGTCTATTAATTTCTATAGAAATTGATGTAAAACTTTTTTTTCTATTGAAAAAAGTAGAAAAAAAAGTTTTAAAGAAATTTCTATAGAAGTTAACAGAGACTCTATACAAATTCTATAGAATTCTATAGAATTTCTTTACGCTATAAGTTTTAAAAGTTTATAGAAGTTCTATAGAACTTTTTTACCTGGGCTGCCATGAAACATTACCAATGTCGCTTGTCTAGCCAAAAGCGGTATTAAACCTTGAACCTCTTAGTTCTTAGCCAGAACTCTAACCACTGTACCACGGCTGCTTTAAATGTTTTTATCATAAAACACGTTTTTTGAATCCACACATTCTTCCTCCTATTCTTAGTGCTTATTAGAAAATAGTTTTAATGAAACCTTTTTAGTCAATAGTGCAAAATAGATGTAAATAATATTTTAATGAAACATTCCTTTTACTTTTAATGTACTTTGTTTATAAAAATCGTTAAATAAATTCATACGTGGCTCAAAAAATTTAAATTAATCATGGGACCCAGCTCGCACATGTTGGGCTAACATCAGAACAACGCATCGCAGTATGTTAGCCTGGAAGATACTGTTTATAGGACAAGCTTAACCTAATATCTTAAGAAGAATATAATTCTATGTTGCATGTTTTGTTTGGGTCATTAAGGTACTTCATAAAGCTTTTGTCACAGAGCATCACCAAAAAACATTTAAAGAAAAGGTTTTTACTTTTTTTCTTTACTGACATCACATTAGCAGAGAAAACATCAAACTCTTGATTCTGAAACAATCACTCTAATACCCTCCAACTGCAGTATGGATGCTCATTGCTCCTGTTTGAATCATAGCTAGAAGGTTGTTTGGAAACTTAAAAAAATATATATTAACAAGTAGTTTTTTTATTTTTGAGTAGTTGACGGATTGCCCAGACTATAGCACATTTGGGTAATACATATTTACAAAAAGATTAATAATGTCCTTTAAAGTTGTAAAGAACCGTATTGTTATGTTTAAGATATATGTTCGCTTTTGAAATCTAATTACATCTTGTTTAATAATTATAACGACATTGACTTGTTACAAATATCAAAATGCCAGTCTTAGAATTATTTAGTCTTATATAACAACTAGTTACTTTATAGGCATGGTTTTGCATTGCATATATACATTTATATATGCAATGCATTTATATATATATATATATATATATATATATATATATATATATATATATATATATATATATATATATATATATATAATATATATATATATATATATATATATACATATATATATATATATATATATAATATATATATATATATATATATATATATATATATATAAATTAAATGCATATTATTATGGGTATATAAGGATGATGGTAAAGTTAAATTTTAGAACAAAATATCTTTTTAAGTAAGTGAATTACGGGAGATTAAAAAATTTCACTAATGATAATGTAACGGAAACATTTTTTTTGTTCAGGCTTAAACTGGCTAAACCAGACTTGAGATGCATGAACTAAAATTCCGCAAAGCTGACCCGTTATCCAAACTTATTTCACATTCATGTCTAAAAAATTTCTATTTAAATCAAATTTTTAAAGTATAACTGAAATTTTGTGACGTGTTTTTTACAAAATATTTTGTTTTTAATATAAAGTTATTAGGCCACTTTTTGATCAGCTAGTTTGCGCGTAAAAGTTACGTAAATATAAAAAAAATTCACTTTTAATTTAGAATTAATTAAGATATTTATACATTAAATCATTTATTTACAATATTGAATTGCTTAAAATCGTACTTATTAATAATAATTCCAGAATCTTGAAACATGTTTATTTGTTATTATATTTTCTTAACTTCTTTTAAAAAACTTAAAATCAAATCAATAAACATTTTGGGGGCACAGAAATAAACTTTATTTTTGGTGCCCGCAAAATACTTATTAAAAGTAAACTAATAATGTTAAAAATAGCCTTATTACTAAACTATACTTTTTTAGAAATTAAAACAATAACTTTAATATCATAATTCTTGCTTTTTGTTTAAGTTAAGTGCTCACGCCGTCAGGTACATTTAAAGTTAATATAGTATATTATAAATATAGTATATTATATAAAAAATGTAGCCTACAATATATATATATATACATATATATATATATATATATATATATATATATATATATATATATATATATATATATATATATATATATATATATATATATATATATATATATATATATATATATATATATATATATAGCTTTAAAATAGTAAATAAAGAAAAGTTTGAAACATGTGCAAATAAGTTGAACCTTTCCCTTTTGATCATTTTGTAAAACTCAATGAAAGTCTATAAATAGAAAATAGGAACAGCTCAATTTTATTGGTTCAGAAATATAAATCTCGAATAAAACCATTACTAAAGCTGTTTCATAAAGTTGTATCGACAAAAATTATAAAAAAAAGTTTTTGATTAATTTTTTTTGTTGAAGAAAGCAAGCTGTTTTAAAACGTGTTATATCTTAATAGACACAGATGTCTCAACGACGTTTAGAGGATGACTATAAAATGTTCAGTAGACGTTATGTTCCCTCAATGATCAAAAGATAAAACAGATTTTAAATTAACTTTGAAGTTTATTATTATAAAATAGTTGATAATAAATATATTATCAATTATTAATATGATACAATTTTAATAAATTACTTACAAGCTTTTCTACAAATAAGAATAAATTTTTTTAACATTTAAAATAAATTTAGTTTAAAAACTTAATATATATATATATATATATATATATATATATATATATATATATATATATATATATATATATATATATATATATATATATATATATATATATATATCACCCCCCCCCCCCCACACACACACACACATACACACATATTTATATATATGTATGTATATATATATATATATATATATATATATATATATATATATATATATATATATATATACATATATATATATATATATATATATATATATATATATATATATATATATATATATATATATATATATATATATATATATATATTAACAAATACAGTTATACTATTTTAATAAATTACTTACTAGCTTTTCCACAGAAGAAGAAAAGATTTTTTCAAACTTTTAAATTTAATTTTAAAAATTGAAATTCTCAAAACATTATATATACAAGTGCCCAAAAAAATTTATATATATATATATATATATATATATATATATATATATATATATATATATATATATATATATATATATATATATATATATTCCTATTTACTTTCTGTGTATTTAGAACATCAAAAACATCAATATAAAATGAATATCAGTTTATTAAAAGTAATTGAACCCTCATTAATTCAACTGAAACCATCGACGTTAGTTGCTTTATTGAAACCACCTAAATCGACTTTGTTTTCTTTAATGAGACCATCGGAGTGGGCATTATGTACTACTTTTGGAATAATTTTTTTAATTGGTGTTGTTGGAAATGCATCAGTTATTTATGAGTTTGGCTTCAAAAAAAAATCTAAACAACGTCTTACTGCTGATTGCTTAATTTTGTATTTAGGAATTGCTGATTTTTTATCATTGCTTTTTAATCCACTTTTGTATATTTATTTTACTGTTACTCGATACCAACAATGGCACTTTGGAAGTTATGGCTGCAAAATTATACCTGCAATAGGGCAAATAATGTCTTCTATTTCAATTGGTGTGCTGCTTATATTTGCAGTTGATCGATACCTAGCGATAACATCTCCAATTAAAGGATCAGCTTTGTCTAAAAGAACTGTCACATTAGCATGCATAATTGATGTTATTTTAACAATATGTTTGTATCTTCATTATATGTTAGCACTGAAGCTACATTCTAATCATAATGGTGGCTTATATTGCAGTGTTCCCAGTGTTAAAAGTTTATATTACTCCATATCAAAATGCCTTTTAGTTTTTTTTCGTTTCCTTATGTGTGTTTTAGTATATATTTTTACCACCGTTCAAATATTATTAACTGTTAAGAAATCTAGAAAAATATTAGTTTTTAGTAAACAAAGGAAAAAGCTGCAGGAAGATTATAAAAAGACAGCATACATGCTGTTTATGATGTGTTTGGTATTTTTTTTCCTTGTTTTTCCAAGAGAAATTTTTCATTTAACATATGTTCTATCTTGGATGGTTAAAGAAAAAGGAATTTTATATACTCCAATCTTAGTTGAGTTAAATGCTTGGTTAAAGGTGCTCACCATTGCAAATAGCTGTGCTAATGTGTTAATTTATTCGCGAGTCCAGAAAATTTATTTCAAAGAATTTTTTAAATATTTTGGTAAATTTTGGCGTAAAAAAGTTGTTTTGAACGCTCAAGATATAAAAGCGCTACGATGATTTTACGTGTGTGCGTATGTATATAGTTTTTGTTTGTGAAAAAATGTTTAATTTATTCTTTGTTTTTTATTAGTTGATTTATAAAAAGACGAAAATTAGAGATATAAAACAAAAGTTTTTAAGCCTTTTTTTTTATAAATCCGTCTTAACTTTATATTACGTATAAATTTTAACCTCGGTCATATACTGCTCAAATTTGATCCATATAAACATTTCCTTTTTTTGCCTAATGATTAATCCTAAAAATTTTTTTTTAAGTTTTAAGGCTTTTTTTCCTTTTTTTTTGCCGTAAATAAAAAAATAAAATATATTAAGTAAAACAGATATTCCACAATAAAACAGATAGTCTATGCATATATAAGACACAATTTGTCTTATCGCTAAGCCTCGAGATTTCATTAAAGTAAATTCCTACACCATCTAAATTTACAAATTGTTAGGAAAAAAGGAAAAAGTGTAGAGACGATATTAAAACAATGAAATCATCAAAAATTTAATTTAAACAATTAAACATTTAAATTAAACAATTTAAACATTTAAATTTAATTGTTTTTATATTTTACAGCTGATTATTTTTTTGAAAGAGTGGCAGTAAAAAAAAAAAAAAAAAGATAATAGTAATTAATTAAGAAGTTAAAAGTTTGCTAAAGTTTGATAAATAGTTTATATAAACTCGCTAAAACCTTAAACTTTTTCATATAAACAGAATATAGATTTATATTAGTACCAGTAAATAATAATACCATAAATTTAAATGTAGACGCAAATCTAATACGTGAGTCAGAAATTGCAGGAATGATCTAACTAAATAATCTAATCAAAACCACACTAGATTAGCAAGAAAAAGCTTGCAAAAGCTTTGAAAAAAAATTTACCTGTAGTACCCAGATTACTTCAGAAAATGTTACGCACTCCATTACAAACCAACAGTGTCTACCTCAACTTTCCTACATTACAAGTTCCAAGTATTTTAAGCTTGTTAAAACTTTACTCCAAACGTTTGGCTTTTTAACAGAGATTGAAAAACTAAGTTGGCGTAAAACAACTTATGCGCTCAATATAGGTGTTGTTTGAATACTTGGTTAATCTATGCTGATTTTTGAATTTAAATAATGAGTTAATAATATTATAATAATAATAATAATAATAATAATAATAATAATAATAATAATAATAATAATAATAATAATAATAATAATGTTAACTGTACATATAAAAATGATGTGAGTCACTCAACTGTAGTTGCGTGACTTAACAGTAAATAAAAAATACTAATGAAATTCGGGATATAACAAAATAATAACAATCCAAATTTTCTCATGTTCCTTGAGTTTATTTTTAAAAGCATTTTTATTAACAGAGTTAACAACTGTTCTATTTATTAACAATCCTATTAGTAAAGTAATGCGTTCTTGCTTCCGAAATACGAACATTTTATTTGTGCGACCGTTTATTATGACCTCTTAATTTTGGATATAAGTTATTTATTGGAGGGTATTTCCAATTTACTTTATGAATGTCATTTTGAATTTTATAATATTCTATTATATCACTCCGTTCTCTTCGTTTTTCTAATGACGTCAATCCAAATTCTTTTAATCGCTCCTCATATTTCATACCTTTTAAGCATCTTATTTTTGTTGCTTTTCGTTGTATTTGTTCTATTTTAATGATGTCTTTTTTATAATAAGGAATCCAAATGATGAAGCAAATTTCAATTGGGGTCGAACTAAGGAACAATATAGCAGTTTCATTTGGTCTTTATCTAAGAATATAAAACAATATTTTATTTGACCAAGTATTCTGTTTGCTTTTCCTGTGATCATATCTATATGATTTTTCCATTTTATACCATTAGATATTAGGACCTCTAAATCTTGTTCCAAAGATGTTCTTATCATAATGTAATGATTTTCATTGCTTGTTGGTTGACTTATATAATAATTATAGCGAGGTTTTTTTTTTCCCTATATGCATAACTTTGGATTCTTCTTTGTTAAAGTGTAATAACATTTACTAAGGTTCAATAAATCTTGTATTCCATAGTTATTGTTCATATTTGTAATCACGGAAATAATTTTTGTATCGTCGGCATACAACTTAGAGCAATTTTTTATTTCTTGTGATATATCATCAATATAGATGACAAATAATAACGGACCTTTTACTGAGCCCTGGTGGCACTCCAATTAAGTAATATTAAGTAATATTTTTTAAATTAGTTTGAACATAAAAACTTAATTTTATAGTTTTTATTTATATTTAACTATATATTTTTATTTAGCTATAGTTTTATTTTCATTTAGCTATAGTTTTATTTAGTTATATCTAGCTATACACTTTATAATTAGCTATAGTTTTTATTTTATACTTAGCTATATATATATAGCTACAACTTATATATATATATAAATTGTCCTTGGAGTCTGTAAACAGCCTACATAAGTAGATATAATATTATAACTGTACTTTTTCTAATTAGATTAGATTGTGACAAACTTCTCTCGTTGAAGTGTTTAATGTGGTTGGATTAATTGTATTAATCAAACGATTGCGTTTATCTATAGTTTGAATTCTGTACATATTAGTTTTCAAAATGAATATTGTATCTCCTTACTCTTTTGTATGTCTGTTCGCATGTATTTATAAATAGAGTTCTTTTATATTAAGTAATAGTAGTCTTTTTAAAAAATGTTGTCTTTTACCATTTACTTGAATTGAGATTACCATGCATTTGTTTCAAATGTCTTGCAGTTTTTATCATTTTTTGAAAGGCAGAAAAATAGTTTTGTGTATAGTCAATGTTCCAACTCTTAGGAAAAAAAGTTAGTAAAGTTTTTATGATTTTGAAGAAATATCAAACTTTGTTTTAATTAATTCCATTAGTGACCCTGTCTTTTTAAGCTACTTGTATGTATGTATGTATGTATGTATGTATGTATGTATGTATGTATGTATGTATGTATGTATGTATGTATGTATGTATGTATGTATGTATGTATGTATGTATGTATGTATGTATGTATGTATGTATGTATGTATGTATGTATGTATGTATGTATGTATGTATGTATGTATGTATGTATGTATGTATGTATGTATGTATGTATGTATGTATGTATGTATGTATTTATTTTATAAAGAAAAAAGTAAACAAGAATGAAAGTTAGATAAAGCTGAGTTAGAAAAGTAGCATAAATAAAACGGACTTTGCATTGGATGTTAGATGGTGCAATTATACGTATTAAAATCATATTAAAGACTTTCAACACTTTTTCTTTCTTTTAAGTTAAAATATTATGTATGTATATGTAGTATACTTTAGATAGCGGATTTGTTAACTACAAGTTTACTTGCGATAATGTTGTTAAGGTAGAGCGTTCGCTTTGTCAGCGAGAAGTTCCGAGTTTGATTGCAATGTTTAACTTGTTTCCCCACACGTCGGCTTTGTATGTTAAAGTTTGTGTTTCATAGTGATAGCTAAAAAACCGATTTTCATGACTTAAAAGTATGACTTCAAACTTTTTTTTATCAATAAAAATATATCTGTTAGTTTACACAATATCATTAGGAAAACGAATTAGAAAAATACTTTCTTTTACTTTAGCATCAACGCCGTTTTGAATGTGTAAATATTTGTACCTAAGATTAATTCGGCATCTATCAGTGCACACCAAAGATTTTGCACTCTTCATATGCTGCGATTCCTCTTGTTCTAACATTTTTTGAAATCAGTTGTGCATTCGATTGTACAGTTGTACTTTAATGCATTCGATTGCTCTTATATTCTATAAAAGCAATGTATGATCTAGGCAATTCATTCAACTAACTTGCTTACCATTTTTAGGTAATTTAAAATTACCTAAAAATGGTAAGCAATTTAACCTAATAATTTACAAGAGGGCTTATAAATTTCATATACAGCGTAACTCAGTTACGGACTTTCATAAGAGGTGGTTTAGGCACATTTCGACGCCATCTTTATAGGGGATAAATGCACCTAAACAAAACCAATCTTAGTTGTTAAGAGATTTTTTCATTTAAGAAGTTTTTTTTTCATGTTAATGTTTTTTCGTTTAAGAAGATACAACGGATATTGTTAAATAAAAAACATTTTTATAAAATGATTTTTAGACCATTGCTTATCTACAAATTTCACTTTACACGAGTTGCGGATCAGAATATATAAATTTAATCAGTATCCTTTCCGTGGATAAAAACCAAAATAAAAGGCATAATGACGTTTTGTAGTCGAAGTTTTCTTGGATTCTACCATGGAAGTATAAAACAGATAGAAGTTCAACCGCATTGAAAATCTTTGGGACTATGCTTGTAACCTTTTGTTTCGTAAACAATAAGAAAACAACATCAAGACTGTACTTAAACGCTTAATCTTTTTACGTTGACGCAAATAGATACGTTTATAATAATTTAAAAATATAGTATTTTAAAGGTTCAAAATGAAAAATTTAATTTCAAAACTGCCAATACCAACGACGAAGCTAGATTGGATATAAAAGCAAAAGAGTTTTGGAGAAAAGGAGAAACGGCATTTTTTGATGTTAGAGTAACGCACGTAAACTCCAAATTCTCCAAAAAACAACCAACAAAACATATATTCCGTAGGCATGAAGATGCAAAAAAACGTGAGTATTTAGAACGAGTTCTAGAGGTTGAACACGGGACATTTACCCCATTAATTTTTGGTACGAATGGTGGGTTTGGAGATGAATGCAAATACTTCACGGCACTACTCGCACAAAAACTGTCCTTAAAAATGGGTGAGCGGTACGAAGCTGTTAAAAATTGGCTAAGGACACGTCTTTCCATGGAGATTACTAGAGCCTCCCTACTCTGTTTAAGAGGGTCACGAACCCCATTTAGGCATTATAACACTGACGATGTTGGCCTGGAAAATGTGCAATGTGGACTTATTTAACTTGTATTTTTAAATTGTTTTATTAGTTATGCAAGACAAACTAAAAAAAAAAAAATTGGAAGGTTCGCCAATAATATTCAAGAAAAACAATAAAAATGGCGCAACGTAACGGCAAA